TTGAAAAATTCACATCTTTTACTAAAACAAAAACCACTTAACCTGCCCAGCATATTTAGAACATTTAGAATGCAATTTTGTAATAAACTGAGACATACTGCAAATTGGAATCTCTCTGTACCATATCAATTTTTCATGTTCATTCATTTATTCAGTAATTATATAAGCTACTTAGTGTTTAGTTTTTAGTAAGTGCTCATTAACTTTCATTTATTATAATTATCATGTGTCTATTTTGAATGTCATATTCATATGTGAATATGAAAAATAAGTATTCTATTTAAGTTCAATCATTTTATAAATGCATTAGCTTGTTTAGCATTGGACCTTCCCCCTCCAAAAATGAACATGCATGCAATTATATCAAAACATGAACAGATTTTTTAGCATATAATAACATTTCATTTATCAGAAGCTGATACAGGTAGGGGCATTTTTTAGAATAAAGATACTTCAAAACTTTTCATTCATTTTACTTGAAGAAAATCTTTCTAAGATATGTCACTCATTTTCTTGTCATCTTAATCAAATTATAGGCACTTTTATCTTGAGGAATAAAGGCCATGATTTTTATTTTTTTTTATTTAATTTTTTAAAAATTAAAAAAAATATATTTATTTATGATAGTCACAGAGAGAGAAAGAGAGGCAGAGACATAGGCAGAAGGAGAAGCAGGCTCCATGCACCGGGAGCCCGATGTGGGATTCGATCCTGGGTCTCCAGGATCGCACCCTGGGCCAAAGGCAGGCGCTAAACCGCTGCGTCACCCAGGGATCCCAAGGCCATGATTTTTAGATATAAATTGTGATCTTAAGTCTTAGAATTAATGTTCTCAAAGGTTAGCCATGAGTTGGTTGTTCCTACAGAATGGGCTCCATACTCTGCTATATTCTTTCAGTACAGATTTGTCCCTATTGTTTCAGCATTTCAGCTATTATATTTGCTATATGTTTTTTACAGCACTATCTCTTCCAACTCATTCTATCTAAACCAGGAACCAAAAAACAGAAATCCTGAAACCATATTTAAAGTTGAAATAAAATAGTCTATCAGTAAGGTTCTGAGACTCTTATTACACTATATGGTCTTTATAATATTTATTTTTGGCTATCAACTGTATCCCAGAAAAGTGAGGTGGTAATGCATACAGGCTTTGTGGGAAAAAAAAATTAATCTACTAAAAGACATGATGACCTCTTGTGGTTCTTTAAGTAGTCTTAATCCAACACTCCCTGAAGAAAATGAGTATAAAGAATAAGCAAGCTTCCTTTAGTTACCTAGTCTCTACTTATTATTCATAAACTGTGTGCATATGTGTGTTTACATGGGCATACATGAGCACACATGCACACATGCATGCATATGTCTCTCTCTGTGTGTGTGTGTGTGTGTGTGCTTAGTATAACGAGCTTAATGTTGGTTAATTAATATTTGGACAAAGAATGTAAGACAAATGAATGACAACTCACATATTTCACAATTTGCTACTATAAATTATTCTCTGTGTGTGTCCTTGTCCAAAAACTTTGGAAATATCAGCTAAAACAATACAATGTTTTATATACACTAGCACCAAATTGTATAATACAAAGTATATGAATAATAATTATTATTTATATTATCTAATTTGATACCAGTAGATTGTGATGATTAATTACATGTGTCAATTTGACTAGGCTAAGGGTTGCCCAGATAACTGGTAAAACATTATTTCAGGGTGTATCTATGAGGATATTACTGGAAGACATTAGCCCATGAATCAGTTAAACTAAATAAAGAAGATCTCCCTCACTGATGCAAGTGGGCATGATCTGAGAGCTGAATAAAACACAAAGGCAAAGGGCACATTTGCTCTCTCCTTGAGCTGGGGCATTCATCTCCTGCCCTCAGACATTGGTGCTTCTGGTTCTCAGGCCTTCAGGTTTAGACTGGGAACTACTTGATCAGCTTTCCTGGACGCTAGCTTACAGACAGCAGATGGTGGGTCTTCTCAGCTTCCATAATTTCATGAGCCAATATTCCAAAATAAATCTCTTCCTATATATCTACTTATGTCTTATTGGTTCTGTTTCTCTAGAGAACCTAATATATTGATATACTTTGGAAAAGTCCAAAATATTATCGAGAATAACCTAATCTACTTCTAGACATTAAACTGTAAGTCAGTCTCTGGGCTAGTATTAGAAGGAAATCAACAATAAATAAAATCTCTTTTAGGTTGTACAATAATGTTTGGGATATTTATTCACAGAATATAACCTCTTTAAAAAACAAAATTATTTATACATAAGTGATCAGAAGGCCAAATGACACTGTCTTTACACAAGACTGAAAACAGTATAGACAATACTGGCTTTATTTGCAGCACTAAATTGCCTTGAGTTACTATATCTAATATACTTCTTAAAGTTTAGCAGTGATAAAGGAAGTAGGCAAACCTAGAAAACAGAATCTTAATGCAAAAAATGCACGAAGTTTTCAAATATATAATTTTAGTAAGTCAAAATAAAGAGTAATAAATGTTCATAATTTATGGGATTTTCATAGTAAATTATACTAGACTATAGAGGATTTTATTACTGTTATTCAAACAATGTACTTAAATCTAAATTTAAGTTTACTAGATTCTGAGATTGACATTTCTTTTTTTACAGTTTTTTTCCAAACTGAATAAATGCCATGTATCAATATGATACTTCTTTAAAAAGATTTTTTCATTATTTATTTATGAGAGAGAGAACATGGGGGGGAGGAGGAGGGCAGAGGGAGAGGGAGAGAGAGCCTTAAGCAGACTCAGTGCTGAACATGGAGACAGACGTGGGGCTCAATCTCACAACCCTGAGATCAAGACCTGAGCAGAAACCAGAGTTGGACACTCAACTGACTGTGCCACCTGGGCACCTTTCAATCTGGTACTTTTGATTAGCAATGGCTTTTAGAATTAGATGTTAACATTTGCAAAAAAGAATCAAAGAAACAATACCTCTGTGTGTTTTCCCCTTAGTCTTCCTTGTAAATTATTTTGTGAATGGACTAATCTGGCACAGCAGCCTTCGTGGGTCCTCCTCACCATAGAAGTCATAAAGCCCTTCAGAGAGTTGTTCCAGCTTGAATGACCAGCATCCCAAGGATCTCTCTAGGTTCTTCCTTCCCTGAGCTGGAAAATGCATAGCCCAATATACTATCCCCTTTTCTACAGAGTTGATCTTATTTCTCTTTGCCTAGCCATTTTTAGAATGGACATTTAATTTGGATTTTCTCTGATTTCTGAGTTTATTCTTTGACAAAGATACTATTTTTGGTCACCTTTTTCTTCTCATCACTCATTGCTTAGAGCAAGAGACAGTTCACTCCATTTCTGAACCAGCACAAGCTGCTAAACGCCCACTCAAAGGGAAAGTCTGGGTCTTCAAACTTCCTCAGAAGGTGGATTAAAACATAAATCTAACTGGAAGGTCTTATGCTGCATGAAGATAGTAGAGTGGCATGGAAATGCCCCCATTTAAGAACTGCACTGCATAGATCTTCCTCAACTAAAGAATATTATCAGCAATTAGTTATTACCCATTGCAGTTTGAGGTCATTCTGATGGAAGATATTTTAGGATCAATCACATAAGTTCCTTTAGGACTCGAATACCTTCAGAAGAAGTCAAGCATAAAGTGAACCAGCAAAAGTCTTAATCATTTATCTATATCTATATCTGTCATATATCCCATATATCCCATGTTTGTGTGTTCTGTACTAGTTGAATGCCTCTAGTCAAACACTCCACCAAGTTAGGTTTCTTGCTGATCCAGAAATTAAAGCTTAAACATACTATGAATATAAATCTGAGGCAAGCCATGTTTCTCTATAGTTCAGTGGTCTTCAGGGGAAGACTACTCAGGCATGACAAATGACAGAAAACTTGAATCACAACAACATTTGAGAAGAAACTTTTAAAGAAATGAGAAAACTGTAAATCTATATCAACTCAAGGGGATCCTTGAGCGGCTCAGCAGTTTAGTGACTGCCTTGGGCCCAGGGCATGATCCTGGAGTCCCAGGATCAAGTCCCACATCGGGCTCCCTGCATGGAGCCTGCTTCTCCCTCTGCCTGTGTTTCTGCCTCTCTCTCTCTCTCTCTCTGTCTGTCTCTCATGAATGAATAAATTTATTTTTTTTAAATATTAAAAAAATCTATATCAACTCAATAAATCAATATTTAAGGAGACTATTTCTTTGCTCTTGCCATGTTTTTTTACTACAAAGAGTAATCTGCCATTTGGTTAACATTACTGCTGTTGGCTCAAGGTGATTGTGGCACCGTTAAAGTGTGTGTAGGTGTTGCTTCTATGTGTAATTCCTCCATATTAGAGACAGCTTTAAAGCCAACTAAAGGAAGAAATATAATAGACATAAAGTCTTCACTTTATGTGCTCTGACAATACAAAATCCACCACAGAGGGCTCAGAGGAATCCACTGTGCCCTGGAAGTTACTCAGGAAAACCGCACCAGCAGCAATAGCACCATGACCATGACCCTTACAGCTATTCTGAAACATTCTACAACCTATGCTGATTCAGCACATCTTTGGGACATCTACCCAGAAACTAACTTGGCATCCTCATGAATAATATATGGAACATGAAGACTCATTTAAAAAAAAACACACAAAGATATATATTACATATTTTCAACATTAGGTCAGATAGCAACGAACATTTGGCAAATGGAAAAAGCAGTGCATATTCTCCTTTACATATACATGTGCAGACATAGGGGAGATAAACACTAGGAATCCATACAAATGCATGTATGTGTGTGTGTGTGTTTGTGTGTGTGTAATGTATATGTGATTGGGCCTATTTAAAAATCAGACATGAATTATTCATAATACATTACTTACATATGCTTGAGGATGAGCAATGACTATTACACTTAGAAATGTATGGCGAAGATACTTGCAATTTTTTTTAATTCAGTATGATTTGGAGGAAAAAAATCCCATTTCTTACCTACATTTCCAGTCATTAAGTATGAATTCTGAAAGTCCATCATCCCTATTCCAACAATGTGTATAAAATCTTCAATCACCTGCATTAACTCTATTGAGCCAGGATAAATCTACAAAAACAAGCAAAAATTAGAAGGAATGAAAAGCCTATATGATAGAATATATAACTGAAATAACAAAAACTACATAATGAGGTCACAAATGAGCTCAGATTTCTGTGAAGACATTTCTGCAACTGGCAGCAGTTGTATCTTTGAACCAACAGTTGAGAATGATACCAGGTGTCATACAGCAAGAACTCTGAAGGTGAAATGCTGCAGTGATTAATCCTCCATAAATTTAAGGAAACTAAAAATATCTAACAGATTGTATACTTGAAATTGCCCACCTTTACTTTTTATAGGATCCTTCCCTCACTTAAATAACAGTACAAACACTGAAATTTGGGGGCTTTTTATAATTTTTACTTACCTATATAATGGCCACTGGAAAATAAAACCACATTAATTGTCATCATGAAGATATTTACAAACTATTAAGTTCACCACAAAGTAACTTTTGTATCTTAGGAGTAACTTTTACTTTTATAACTGTAATAGCTATTGAATGAATAATACTTTTAGCAACAATTTCAGGATCATGACAATAGCTCTGGTGTGGGTGCTTCACATGTACATATACACAGCAGATCCAACACCATGCCACCTCACACACTGCAAACAGAGGAGTTTTTGCTTAAAGACAACCTGATATTGGCTATAGTTCATAGTGTGTGGGAAGTGAAGGCCATTTAGAAGGTTATATGAGTGTTGCTATGTGTAACCTATAATGCTTCTAAAGTCAGCCTGCATTATATAACTACATTAAAGCAGAAAGTCTTTTGAAGTTAGGTTCATTTCTTTTAGCCATTAAGCCCTACTGCCCCTTGTAGCCATTTAAAAAATTAAGTAGATTACAATTGTAGTGGCTTTATCTTTACAACGGCTAGTGCATAGGGGAAGAGACAGTCTCATCAGCAGAAAAGTACACAATCAGAGCTGGAAGGGAACCAGAGTAAGAGGGAGACATGTTGGGCAGGGCAGACAGCAGGTGCAATGTGTTAAGTTTACAGGAGATTGTGGCTGTGCCCTGCTAAAATTAAGACCCTGAGAATGCATAATATAGTTACATAAATTTGAAGACATGAATAATGGCTATTATATTCAGAGATGTGTGGCATGGATACCTGTAAATTTTTTAATTTGAGGAAAATTTTGGGAGAGATGTTATTTCTTACCTAGTTTCCAGTCATTAGATATGAATTCTGAGAGTTCATCATCACCATTCCAAAAATCTGCATGAAATTTCCATCAGCTCCAAGCTTTCTGCTACTGCTGTATTTTTTTCTACTGTTTTTGTGTAGGTGTATATGAGTATGTGTCGTGTAAGGGTAAATACAAATTAAAAATAAGAGGCTTAATTCTCTCTGCTGAAAATGAGAGACTCCCTCTCCCAGCCCCACATCCTTCACCCTTTTTCTTAAAACATTTACTTTTGAAAGCTAGTAATTGTTCTTTCCCTGTCTCTGTGCAATGTATGTAAATCTTTTTAAAAAGCTAAGTAGACTCTCCCCAGCTTAAAGACCCAGGGATGCCTTTCAGAGAGAGAAAGAGGTAATAACAAGGGGAACAGGGCCTTGATCTCTCATTTTCTATGGGAGGAGTGCTAACTTCAGCAGGCACCTTGCTCTAAGTTGCAAAACTACCTTCATGAAGATAGAAATCACTTCTTTTTTTAAGTAAAGCCAGTTAACTAACATCTGGTCACCCCATTGCCAGGTGAATTTAAGATGAATTCTGTGTGGCAAATGAAGTTCACTCTTTGTGCCACAAACTGGGAGACTCATTTGCCATGTGGCTGCATTTATAACAAAATCTTTTAGTAAAAGCTACAAAATAGTTGTTTATTTTTTTAACTTTGAGTAGTCATCTTTATTTATATCCAAGTAGTTATCTTTAAAAAGCTATTAAGGACTATCAGTACTGAAAAATATTTAAAAGATAAGAATATAGCTAACTCAAAATCACAAATAAATAGATGGATTAGGGATTCAGGATTTTCCATTGACAAGAAGTTGTACCACTACTCACTGTTCATTCAAGTTGGGACCTCACAGTAAATAATACCATCTGATGAACTACAGTCTTGTTTTAAAAAGAGTATTATACATTTGTTCTAAATATATCCATAATTAATAGTCTCCTGCATTCTGGAAAGATGTACTTAGCCTCTGCAGCTGTATTCTAGGGAAAGACACAATTTCCTTACAGTGGATGAATGAGGCTTTCCTCTAGAAAAAAGCCAAGGACAAATATATAATTCAAGCTAGCAGAAAAAGATAGATTTAGGGTCTTACACTAAGGACTGATCTTTTTTTCTTGCTATGGCCAGAAGCACAGAATTTGTACCTTATAATGAGGTAGATCCACACTGGACTATTTTTAGATCCCCAGCATAACAGGAATAAAGGGCATGCTTTGCTCCTGAAGGCCGAGAACATGATTATAAGGGGAAAAGGGACAGATAGTTCATTTAAACCTCAGAAAATATTCTTATTTTCAAGATTGCATTGTTCTCCTGGAATTAGCAATGGTCAAGTAGAAAACTTAAAGAATTTTAATACACAGTTAAATTAAATTTCCATAGGATTTTTAAAAGCATGCTTATTCTCCCTTTCTTAGACTTTAACCCTCTTTTTCTGTAATTAAAAAAAGTGTTATTAACCATACTTATGTCAGTATAGCACAAATTGCAGTGAAAGGTATTTTAAAACAATAATTAAATCAACAAGGGCACCTGCTATACTGATCATGTAGACCAGAAAGAGAAAAAAAAGCAGAATTCAAATTTTCTTATGAGAACTCATTTTTACAATTCTTGGCTTTGAATCCAAATGCACATCTGCATATGTGATCCAGATTATACATAGTGTGGTAGTAAATGCAAATGATTTTACTTGTTATCACCCCACAGTTAGGTTTGTAATATGTGCTTTTGGATTTGTTGTTTCTCCCATAGTCTGTAGGCAGGAAAGAAAACTGGTTGGTAAGGCATATAGTTACTATATATTGATACCTCAAAGTTATGAATTACTTAAACCCGTTTAGTTTTTGCACATTTATAATATCTTTCAGTCCACCGATCGTGAGGATAAAAGAGATCACTTATTTTCTCTAAAATTAGTATAACATAATCTAGGATGACTTTTCAAAGTCTCCTTTTATGTTCTTGAAACAGTAAGCCATTAATTTTTCACAGATTTTTTAAGCCTTACTTAGCCAATTTCAAGTATTGAAGCAGCTCCAATCTTACCTGCTGTGCATCCTCCCATTTTTCCTTGTTTTCTTCATCTAGAAGGTTGCTAACTATTTGAAAGAAGTTCTGCAAATTAAATTAGATAAAAGACTTAATGTTATATGAGGGGATATACTTTTCAAAAACATTCATTTGAACTGATTGTGTGATAATGGTATAAACAGTTTGTCATATTGCTTTCTGACCCTAAAATATTATTCTAGAAGATATCTGAGGGCCCTCTCTCAGCACCATACTTCCGGGATTTCTCTATACCTTCACATATATACCTCAGAAAACATCAGAATAGGTAAAATACTTATGTTTACTTACAATTATAGGTTTCATTATAGTCTCTATATCGTGTTCTGTTACACTATCTTATAATTATTCCTTGCAAATAAGTTTTCTTCCTTGAATACTGAAAATCCCTTGTATATGTCTAATTACAAGTTATCCAGTTAATTATGAACCATGATTGCCAGTTACACTGCTGTTCTGAAGAACACTGTAGTGAAGACACAGACTGTGGGTAAGGATGTGGCATGCGACAGACTTCCTCAGTTGGATCCTGGGTCTGTACTTCATGGCTATTATTTTTCTTTAACTTTTCCAACTACCTATTGCAAAGATGACATGGGCTTTTCCAAGTACCTGACATATAGCACATGGTAAGCGCTCAATAAATCCTAGCTATTTCAAATAATTATTCTTTTTTTAATATTTTATTTATTTATTTGAGAAAGAAGGTGAGCAGGAGAGCATGAGCAGGATCAGGGGCAGCGGGGGAAGCAGACTCCCCACTGAGGGAGGGAGCCCAGTGTGGGGCTGGATCCCAGTACTCTGGGTCATGACCTGAGATGAAGACAGATGCTTAACCCACTGAACCACCCAGGTGCCCCTCAAATAATTATGCTTTATCCTGTCTTTTGCCAGCCAGCCAAAATGGAGAGGGATGAATAGACATAGTAGCATGTCCCTATTCAAGTGCCAAATCCTCATCCTCATCCTTATGGCCTAACTGCTCAAGGCCTATTGGCTTTAGTGTTTGGTTTTCCCTTTCTGTGCAAATAGATGTGTTTGGGCACTCATGTTTCCCTTCCCACCTACACAGGGAAGACACTCAGTTCTGTTCATCCATGCAACCTCCCATTTCACACACGAGGGGTCTTTACCAGACAGAGACCTTCTTGTCCTCCCATACTAAACTGTGTCTTCAAAACGCAGGAGCCAGGAGAAGAGACCAGAGTGCCTGTTGAAAACTAATAGTGACTGGGGGTCACAGGTGACCTGGGAAGTGCAAAGTGAAGCCATGGCATTTATCTTAAGCTACATGGACAGGGGTCCTTTGGTTGTGTCCTCAAAACCCATCTCTTCTGCTTGGTTTGTAAGTAATGTACCAGGAGCACTGCCTCCTACTGATACATCAGCTCAGGACAGGAGCTCCCTGAGGGAAAAATAATCACAATTTTTTTAGACTCATCAGCCTTCCTCCCTATCTAGCTTTTCAAAAAAAGGTCTTATTTGGGGCATCTGGGTGGCTCAGTTGTTGAGCGTCTGCCTTTGGCTCAGGTCATGATCCTGGGATTAAGTCCCACATCAGGTTCCCCACAGGGAGCCTACTTCTCCCGCTGCCTATATCTCTGCCTTTCTGTGTCTCTCATGAATAAATAAATAAAATCTTTAATAATTTAAAAAAAAAAGGATCTTTATTCAAATTCCAAAGAAAGTCACCTGGGTGAAGAAAAACAAAGCTCCTCCATTTTCTCTTCTCTCGTGTTTTGAAGCTGTGAATATCTATATTTAATTGCCCTATTTGTACTATTTATTTTAATAATTCCTGGTAATCACATGGTTGAAACATGTTTCAAGTCACAGCCTTTGTAAAAGTCACAGAGTATTTTCTGCAACTCTTGAAAAAAACTGCAAGTCCTTTTTAGACCTGTTTTCAGTTGGTTTAACCTTTTCGTACTACCAGCCATTTTTTCCACTTAAAATTTCCTGGTTGGAGTGATAACATTTTAAGGGCTTAGTCCATTGAGCTGTAATTCTACCTATGGGCAGAAAGAATTAACCTTCAGAGTTCTCCAATTGCCTATGGCTGGTTAACTCAGTAGGGGACATGGTGTTAATGAGGCAAAAGTTGCAGATTTCATCCTCCTACATGCCAGTTAGCTGTGCTGAGGTCCATGACCGCGGTCTGCATCCTAACCCCTGCCAGCTTTCATACAAATGCATGCCGCCACTAACAAGAGACACCAAGAGAATGAGAAGCAATTTGTGCAAATGCATCTCTGTTTCTGAGAAAACATTTCACAAAGCATGTTTTACCAATAGTGGGTCAGTGACTCTGTGCTATACATGACGGCCAGAGAGCACACACAATTCCTTGATCAAAGTGATACATTCAGAGTTCAATTTTTCTCCTTAAATTGCCAATGGGCATATACAAAAAACATAAATTACTAAAATATACATTCAACTAAGCAAACAGAGAGTATAAGAAATGTTCTTGTATCACCTTCCAAGGCAATAAGTCAGACTTTACTAAACCAGGGTTGGGAAGTAGTACAGAATAAAGTTCTTCCTTGTCCCCGTCGATTGGAGTGGGAATGATCTGCTCTAAGACCATGCAGGCCACAGTGAGCTAAGGCTGAAAATCCAGTGAGGGGGAGGGCAGCACTTATGGGGAGACTGTCTTCCTTATTCATCAGCATATCCTCAGTCACACAATGCCTTGTCCTTGGCAGGTATTTAATAGAGTCCTAACTTAAAGGAAATAATGAAGTCACACAGCCACTACACAGCAGACTCTCGAATAAAACTCAAGCCCCATTCTTTTGAGCTGACCCTGCTCTCATCCCTGTACCAATTCACTTTGACATTTGCTCAAAGATCAGACTGAGAACAGAGTAGAATCAAACAGAGTAGTATTTTTTTGTGAAGGGGACATATAACATTTTAGGCCACTTGATTGAATTTTTGAGGAAAGTATGAAGCAACTTCCATGGCAGCAGATGCACTGCTCCCTAGAGTTCTTCAGGAACTCTGCTAATTCTGGTAGTATCTCTCTTTTGATGACTTATGGGTCAGGTCACTTATGTCAGCCCCTGAGTTGCAACTGTCAAGAAGCTTTTGTTTTTTGTTTTTATCAGTCCTGATCTCTGTGACCTAGACTGTTCTTTCTTTTTTTTTTTTTTTTTTTTTTTTTTTTTTTACCTAGACTGTTCTGAAAAATTATATCATTGGTCAAGTCTGAGTTTAGCACTGGAACAGGGCAGACCTGGTTTAAAATTTCCTCAATATTCATTAACTGTGTGGTTCTAGGCTAACGTTACTCACCTATGCCTTCCTTCTCTAACCCATAAGATAGAAATGATAGATAATGGCTGCCTACCAGAGCCATTGTGAAGCTTAGGGCTAATTCTTAGCACAGTATCTGACACGTGGTAAGTGCTCAATATATGGTGGCTTTATGATTTTATTCCCTTCATATTATCTTTTTTATGACCGGTGGCATGATTTGTATTTATGGTCACATTATGGTGAATATGTGCCTATAATGCTGCTATAGACTTCCACACCCAGGGGTTCACTCTCCTTCCTCTTTTATTGCCTCTTCCTCTCTAAGCAGTATGTAGAGCACAGAGCTTATTCACCACTGACTTCAGGACCTGTCATTTGTTGAGGAGACAATTGTCCTTCCTAAGAAATGTACTCTGCTGGGAGGGTTTTCAATGTGGTTATTATTGGACACCCATTAGGTGAGAGGCATTGCACAAACATTTGTTGGACACAAAGGTCAGAGGGTATGACTCTTCACTTACTCTTTGTAGGAAGTATTATGAGATTCCGTGTAGTAAATGTTATAAAGAAAAGCCATAAGTATTTCTGCCACATTTAGCCATATGAGACTAAAAGGCCACTCTATTTTATGCGAACTGGTAACTAATTATTTGTTTTACATCTGACTGGCTTCTGCTTGATAAATTTCTCACATACTATATAAAATTTTCTATAAATATACTAAAGAATATCTGAACATTTAGCTTTTACTGAATTCCTTGTGGGAACAGAGCTGTAGATTAAGCTAGTGATTTGAGATATCTGAGCTCCAGGAAAGAGCTGAGCTCTTCCTCTTAACCCATCAGCAAGATGTTTGGGCACTGAGAGACAAAGATAAGCCCTAAGGAATAGATTTAATAATGTAGAACTAAAAGTTGTAAAGGATCATGATAGTCTTTAAGGAATCATGATGGTCCTGACTAGAAACACAGGAGGACCATAAAAAGGCATTAAGGCTAAACAAAGAGGCAGGGACAAGCCATTAGGATAAGGATGCACAGACCAGACAGGCCATTGATTCCCCAGTCTGTACAGCAGTTGAGAGCTGCAAGGTCATGCATGATCTAGCCCCTTCTTATTGCTCCAATTCTATCTTAAGCTATCCTGCCCCAGTCTATATTGCAGGTTCATCAGACTTCTCCATTCATCCCACTCCTCTGGACCTATAAAATGATGTTAGCTTTCTTTGACTGTTCTACTTCCTGTTCTTTACTCAAATAACTCTTTCTTATTCTTCACATCTACATTTACATGCAACTCCCTCAAGAGAACCTTATCAGATCACCACCACAACAATCCTAAGTTTACAGGGTCTGCATATCCTGATTTTAATCAGTGAACATTGTTATTTTTCATTTATCAATATCTCATCATTTAAAATTGACAAAAAAGAAAAATCCATGGACAAAAGAAACTTTCAGTTCACAGAAGTAATCAACCATAAAAATATGATGTAAAGGAAGTGGTTATATAAGGGGCTCTTGTGCTCTCTCCTGATAGTTGGTTTCCCCTAAGACAGGATGAATTAATATGCATCTCTGGCTCCACTCCATCTCTACATCCCTGCATAAGCAACTCATCAAAACTACCATGCCGTGACTCAAGGATGAACAATTGCACTTTACCCTAACATAAAAGAAAAGATAGTGATGCAGGCAGCCACCCAGCTGTATAGCACCCACTTAAAAGGTGACAAACATGCTGACTTATAGTTGAATTGTATAGGCTTCTTTTCAATTATA